TTTTTGATGAAAGAAAAGTTTTTGGATAAGTGTGTGTTAATCCAACTTATATATGTCATTTTTTCTTTGTATCATAAAGTAACATAAAAGTCCTGCTGAGGTGTAGCTGGTGGATGTAGAAAGACTTGAAAGAAYGATATAGGGTATTCTCTTCAAGCAGCACAAAAAGAAAGCATAGAAAACAGTTTAACACTAAGCCTTATTTTCCTGTTAAATGGCAGTGAATTTTTAGTTGTTTTTCTTCTAATTTTTGTGCAGGCTATGAATGAAATGAATGGAAAAGAGATAGAAGGGGAAGAAATTGAAATAGTGTTAGCAAAACCACCTGATAAGAAAAGGAAGGAGCGTCAGGCTGCCAGACAAGCCTCCAGAAGCACTGCGTGAGTGTTGTTTAATACTGAATTCTACTGCAAAGTGCGAGCTAGCGTAGAAGGACTGGAATCGCGTTGCTCTATAGTGTGTCTTGCTAATAAACACAGGGGGAAAATGTCACTTATTTGGGGAGACTTTAGAAGAAGGCTTAATTCATCTTTCTTTCTCTTGCTAGGTATGAAGACTATTACTACTACCCTCCGCCTCGCATGCCACCTCCTATTAGAGGCCGAGGCCGTGGAGGGAGAGGTGGCTATGGCTATCCCCCCGATTACTATGGCTATGAAGATTATTACGATGATTATTACGGTTATGACTATCACGACTACCGTGGTGGCTATGAAGATCCCTATTATGGCTACGATGATGGCTATGCTATAAGAGGAAGAGGAGGAGGAGGAAGGGGTGGGAGAGGCGCTCCTCCACCCCCTAGGGGCCGGGGAGCACCACCCCCACGAGGTAGAGCTGGCTATTCGCAGAGGGGGGCACCCATGGGCCCACCGAGAGGAGCCCGGGGAGGGAGAGGGGGTCCCGCCCAGCAGCAGAGAGGCCGTGGTGCTCGTGGAGCCAGGGGCAACCGCGGGGGCAACGTAGGAGGCAAGAGAAAGGCGGAYGGGTACAACCAGCCCGATTCCAAGCGGCGCCAGACCAACAACCAGCAGAACTGGGGCTCCCAACCCATCGCTCAGCAGCCGCTCCAGCAAGGTGGTGACTATGCCGGTAACTATGGTTACAATAATGACAACCAGGAATTTTATCAGGATACTTATGGGCAACAGTGGAAGTAGACAAGTGAGGAGGGCTTGAGAATATTGGCAACATAGAATTGGCTCTAGCTCTACATCCTTCAAAACGAAATTGGCTTAATGTGTCATCCTTCAGTAGCGATTGGCTGCCATTTGTATTGGGCTGAAGAATCACTCTCTTGTGTATATACTCGAGTCTCTTAGTTTTCTTTTTCATAAACACACTTGGACATTACTGGGCTTGCAGAATTCCTGAACTCCATATGGGGTTTCAATGCTTTTATCATTTTAGGCTTCATTTTAGCAGTTTAAAAGCAGGAATGGCACACTGTTCAATCATGATTTTTGCAGAACTCTGGTTTTGGACAGTTTTTTTTTTTCTTTTTTCCTTTTTTTTTTTTTTTTTTTGTTTTTGGATAGACTACATAGGAGTATGCTGTACATAAAAGTAAAAGCTAGTGCTTTGTCTTAGTAGTTTTAAGAAATTACAACAAATTAAGTTTTCTTGTATTGAAAATAACATGATTGTATGTTTTGCATTCCTAGAAGTAGGTTAACTGTGTTTTTAAATTGTTATAACTTCACACCTTTTTGAAAATCTGCCCTACAAAATTTGTTTGGCTTAAAACGTCAAAGCCGTGGCAATTTGTTCCTTGATGTGATTGTATTTCCAATTTCTTGTTCATGTAAGATTTCAATAAAACTCAAAAAACTATTCAAAACATCACCTATTTCAAATTCAGTTGTGTCCTAAAACATTATTTCATTGGTAATTCTTGTGAAAAAAACATTGGTTTTCAAAATATAACTGGCTATGTGAGTGATCAAATTCATGCAAAATTTCTTGTGCTTTCCAACATGTAGCACTGTTGACATCAGACTGAAAACCAGGAGAAATTGCAGGCAGCCCAAAGGGCACTCTTAGTTTAATTGGTGTTCAGTAACTCAACAGCATCTAATTTCAAACTTTTTTTTTCTTTCTAAAAAGTGTTGAAATGTACCCAAACATTTATGGAGATCTAGTTTAAATATAGTCCTCTAATGTAATGTGAAGGAGGAAGCAGAGCCTACAATGGTGTTAATTTTATTCCTTTTTATCATGTATTGTGGAGTACCTCTAGAGGCTGTTCTGTTTGGATCAAGCCCTATTGTCTTATTCATTGTACAAGCACCTAGGGAAGTGGTTTTAATCTTCAGCATCTTAGTCTAATTTGAAGTAATTTTTATCTAGGAATGAGAAATATTAATTAGGTGCTGTGGCCCGCAGTAGGCTAAGCTTTGGCTGCAGATACACAACCATCTTCTCCATGTTCTGATCAGTACTGTCGCTGATGTTTTGATTTGATGTTCTGCCATGATGAACAATTTGCCTTAGAATTCTCATGCCTTGTAATAAAGGCTCTTTAAAAATAAATATTAAAAAAAAAAAAACCCCAAAACTTAACTTCGGGGTTACATTATTGGGGTATTATGTGTTGCTTTCATTGACCCTTGTCCTGGACAATCCTAGATGTCAATTCTAACTGGCAAGTCATCTTCTGTTGCATCTGAGCCATGCTGTACCCCAATGAAGAACACTTGCTTCTCAAGAAAGAGGAAAATCAAAAGGATTAAAAGTTGCTCTAAAGAAACATTGCCGGACCTCTAAACATCCAAATTGACACTTTTCTCTCAATATGTTGCTCATACTTGATTACAACATTTGAAACAGACTATTGGGGAAGTTAAACTTCAGTGGTCATACTCCTCCCTTTGTCTTCTATTCCTGTCTGGTGTCTTTTGTTTAAAAAAAGAAAAATGTATTCTATTATGTTAACAGTTAGCCTTCCCACATTTTATTCTTGTGGGTTTGGGATAGAAATGCATGGTTTGAGTTTTGATCTGCATTGAAGTGAGGGTGTATATCTGGTTCTCAAAAATGGGTTTGCCCGTGTGTCAGGTTCTGTTCTTTCCCAATTGATGTAATTGGCCGTAAAATAGCTAAAAGTGCTTTTTAGAACTAGCATTTGAGTGTATATATTTTTTTATTTTTGTTTTTGCTTTTTTACTTCCTAGAGTTAATGGCCCGTGTCCTGTCTTATCTATTCCTTACTTGAGCAGTGAAGTCAGAGGGTTACCGCCTGGGTATAAATATTTCAGGCTTTTGTTTGTAGTAAGAATCTGGCTTGTAATTCTGCTTTAATGCAAGGGATTGCTGTTCTGCCAATGGGAATTTATAGTATTTATGTCTTAACAAAGAGAATAACCATACATATTTTGTGACATGGAACAAAACCCTCTAATCTGAATAGGTTTTTGCATTTCAGTGATYATTGCGAAGGGAATCTGGTGTAGGAGGAGGCTTAAATTGGAATCAGGTTTAAATTACTGGAAGGAAAATAGCATGACTGCCTATTTCAGGGGTTATCCCAGGAGAGGTGCGATGCAAGGCATGTTTCTGGGGGAGGGGGAAAAACTAATGCTTCAATTTTAATGTTTGCATAGTAAATAAGGAACAGAAATGTTGAAATTGTCTTCCTCAAGAATTGCAAAGCTGCATTTTGTACCAATTTCTGCCAAAAGCTCCAGTTATCTTAGTATTTTCGATGAATATGAACAGCGACCTCTACTTTTCCACATTTGACAGTGAAGTTTATTTAAAGTTGGATTTGCAAGCTACATCAGGCTCTTTGATTTACATGATTTGTGCGTACTCAAATTTACCGTTTAAACCTGCAAAAATGTTCTGCTGAATACGTAAAGATAATGCAAACTGCAACCTAGTCCAGTGGTGTACCCTGAACTTGAACTTTACCGAAGTTTACTTTAAAAAATCTTCCACAAAGATACCATAGCGCAGTGGAAAAAAAAATCTAGCATGCCAGATTACACATAGTCAAGGAAAAAGTATTACACTATATTCTCAGAACAAATTTGATACATAATTGAAACAAAAAATAAATTTAAGCTTCACTCTGGTGCATCTGTTTTGATCTTTTCTTCAGCATAATTTAACAAAAATCATAGGATAAAGCACATTGAAAATGGATTTCAACTTGCTAATCAATATTAAAAGCTTTTGAGTGTCCTGCTGGCGTTGGAGGAGGAGCCATGAAATGGGATTTTAATAATCATTTGATCACTCATTTATAGCAGTTGCTTAAATGTCTGTTTCAATGAAGTGTATGGCTAAAAATAAAAAAAAGGTTGCCAGATTTCTACCATTTGAAACACTTTTGAACAAACTATTTTTGAAGCTGTTATGTTATGATAGATTTGCATTATTAACTAGCAGTTTACGGAGCTCAGATATTTTACTAATTTGTTCAACCTAGTCTGCATTTATAAAGCACTAAAGGATTACTTTTTTTCCTAGCTATTTGTTTTCAGCACTCAATCTCCATAGTCTAATTAGTAGGACGAATGGCAACTGCCTTGCTTAAGCGTTCTCAGGATAAATCGTAGACTTTTAAGTAGAAGATGACCGCAGAATTTTGTTCTCGGACTGATTTTGTCCACYCTAGATTTGGACACAAAGCCCATTTCTGTATTCTGTGTACAGAGAAAAAACAAACCAGAGAACACTCTTACTATAAGGCTAGCAGTAAAATAAAATGGTGAACCCAAACTCTTAAATGTCTTAGCATGTTTTTGGCACCCTGTCCTGTAGACCAAGGGCAGATAAACTCATTAATTTCAGTGAGATTTAATGGTCAGCCCAAAATTATGAGCTTGACCTGTGCGTAGAATGAGAAGGATCTAGTCCTGCAAATGGGTCTCTTTTGGCCCTTGGCTTGAGTGGGAGTCCGTGTGTAATCAATTAACCTGGATAATGAAGGCTGCAAGGTGGAGCTCTGTTGGTGTGAAGTGGCTTAGAGCCTTACAGAAAGAGTGTGCCAAAATGTTTCCTTCTCCCTCCCCGTCTCCCCCTTAAAATTAGAGCTTCTGTTAACTTAGAATTTGAATGAAACTGCTTGAGATGTGATCTATTGGCTTGAAACATCTTTTGAAATCCAGAGTGATGAAGTTCAGCATGTTTCTGTTGATAAAAATCTATGGAGTAGAGAAAAAGATTTGCTTAGGGGAGTCTTAAGCTTTTGATGTCACTCCAACAAACAGAGTCTATCTGCAGTGTTGGCTTGTTGATCAGGAACTCTTGAAAATTTAGAGCAGAAGAACCCTCTGAAGAAATGTTTGAACCATTCGGAGGTTACCAGAAGCTCTGAAAGACCGTTTGGAATATGTTGCATCACGTTTTCTGATGTTGTCCAGAAATCTTCAAGTGTCAATTTTGTATTTTAACTCCTTCCTTTTACCTGACTATCAGGGAAGCGTGGTTGAGGCTGACCTGACATGTCATGATGTCGACTTGCTAGGTGGGGTTCGCAAGGGACAGTTTCCTTGGAGTTGTCGGTAAGAGAACTTTCTTTCTAATTTTCTTCAATAAGATCAAAGGGCTTTGGGTGGGGAGGCGGGAGGAAGGAGCTAAACGCCGGGACCTGATCCCTGGAATCTTGTTGAAATCTACCCTTACCGTGGAGAGATTCCAAGAACTGAAGGTAACGACTGAATTTAAATCCGTCAGGTCAGTGTCCCAGAGGAGCCTGGCATAGGTTTTTACCATCACAGTAGATGTGAAAATAAAGATGATTCACTGCTAATACAGATATTTGTGCTTTAAGGGAAAAACAGATGCTGTTTCAGGGATGTTGGAAGCATAAAAGATTTTAATTGCCTGTTTTTTTCTTTCTGCAGTGAAACCCTTCTTTAATAGAATGAGAAAGCTAAGAATATACAGCACACTTTTTCAAAGCATAGGAATGCTGATTAGAAATGTGTCCAAGTAGATCTCTACAGACTAATAAAAAATTATTTTAAAAAAAAAAGGCATAAAATGGATTTGGCTCCTCTCTCTGTTCAAGGTGGTGACGCTTACAGAGCATTTACTGCCAAAGCATTGTGGTTAAAGCAAGGAGTCGCTGTCATATTTGGTCCCATTAACAAATAAGAAAATCCAAAGAACAGGATTCCAGCACTGCAGACCCAGCTTAAAACACTTGCRAGTGTCGAGTAGGAGGAATCCTTCATGGCATGTGCTCAGCTTACACGTTTCTGACAGGCACGTCAGGACTTCTTTTGTTCTGATAATATATTTTTGCAGAGCTTTAAAAGGCACAGAGATGTAGAAACAGTTTACTGGGCTACCGAAGCATTCTGAATTCAGTCATTTTTTATCTTGGAGTTTTAATAATGTGCCCATGCTAACAATCACACAAAATACAAAATACTGCTGATGCCTAGAGGTATTGGTAAGAGCTTCAGATTTAAARTAGCTTCTAATTAATTACAGTTGAACCTTGCTTGAAAACCTGAAATCACTTTTGATCACAGGGTCATTAGGGCTTTTTCATTGGAAAGATTTGAAAATATATATCAAAAAAATATGAGGAGCCTTTATTGTTGGAATCTCAAATCTRTGTGATTATGTAGAGTACTGAGATAATGTCCAGTGGGACATGTTGAGTTTACTCRGATGGAAGGTCTTCAAAATTAAGAAAAGGGAAAGGTAGTTATATAAGGGGGGAAAAAAAATAGGACAGATAGCTTCATATTTGACAATAATAGACAAATAGGTTCATATTTGCACTGGTGGCACTTGAGGAAAAGAACAAGAATATTCAATGGGCCCTACTTCCATAAACCAAAAACATCATTCTCATATCAGTGTTATTTTAGAACTTGAAAAAAATGATCAAAACTATAATCTGCAAAACTACTAAATGCAAAAAAGTGGGGAGGGGCTTGTTTTTCCTCCTCTTCAGGACCTGTTACCATACAGCCATCTGGTCTTACTCATTGCTTTGCCCATGGAACTTTACATAGTGCTTTATCAGTATAACGTGCACCTCTTTTTCCCCTCTCTCTCCTCCAGCCTCTATGAGGGTGAATTGTATTCCCATTTTAAATATCCACTGCATCAATACCCACTTACACGACAGTATTCAGGTGTGGTTTCACATGCTATCAGTTGGGCTTGCAGAAAGTACATGCACAATTTCAACTTAAGCGGAGACGCGATACAGCCYAATTCTGTAAGAGGAAAGCAAATGTGAACAGTGCTTTCTGTCTTGAAGGTCGCCGCTCTGTGATGTTGTAATTCCCCCAGAAAAGCACAAAGGGAAGCATTCCAGTGGCTAGACTTCCTGTGAATTAAAAATGGCTAATATATGATTGAAGGTGATAGTGCATTTATTTGAAAACAGAATAAAGTTTGCGGTCAGTAATTTTGATGCTTATTATCTTTGCTTTCTTTAAACAGTTTTTCGTTGCAGGCTACTCATCAGATGGATGCTTTGGAGAAAAAAACAAACAGTATTAGATGCCATGTTAAGCTCCATTTTAAGTAACCAGGTTCTAAAATTGAATCTATTAAGCAAGATAGGTAGTGAATTAGCGTTGCTTGTTACTGAACCACATCAAGAGGGAACACCAGTAAAGATAAGAATACTCTGCAAGCTTTTTGTGTGCTTTAAAAGCCCAGAAGTTTTGAACACGTCCCTGTGTGTTTTCTGCCAAAAGCAATTGGCAATTAATTTTTTTGGTTTGATCTTGGTCCCTGACCTTGTTTTCTGGGGGAATGCTCTTCTCTCTCTTTTCAGTTATGAAATTACAACTCTGAAGTTACAACAGCTGGGAAGAACCTTTGCAGTGAGCTTTACTGTCCTGCCAGTCTTTCTTCTGTGACTTTTGCTCTGGAATATACAAAAGGCAGAGTCATTTTATACAATTATTTGCAAGTCGTATTGAGATGCTGTTCCTTTGAATATGACAACTCTTATAGTTAAATGATTTTTCTCAGATTTTTTTTGTCCGAGTCAGCTTGGAGGATTCCAGTTTGAACGCCTGGAAAAGGTTATAAGCAGCAGGAAACAACCTTAGAAGCTGTTAAGGAGTGAATTGGCAGGAGTTGAGTTACCACTAGTCATCAATGCCAGCTCTTACCATACAGAAACCATATAGAACTGAGAGTAGCTGATTATTTGCATAAGAGAATAGAGATTTGAACATGATAATTTTGTGATTTTTTTCTCTAGCACCTTCCTGCCTGTCTTGAACAAGTAAGCAGCAGTAATAGCTGGTCAGTGAGCATGAAATGTGTGTCCTAATCTTCCCGGCCTATCCTGTTTTCATTGTGGCTTTTTTTTTGTGACTTTTCTTGTGGCTTTTCATTTGATTTGGATTTGGAGGAGTGGGCGCAAACGTGTTCTGCTTCTCCTTTCTTTTGAAGGTATTGGAAAGAGGAGAGGCCCAAGCCTCTAGAGAGGGTGGAAAAGCCTTACTGTTGAGGAGGCGGCTGTCAGCAAGGCCGTCATGGGTAGCCTGAGGAGTCCTGCTTTTGCCTGAAAGGAGAATTCTCGTCTGCCTTCTATCCAAACCTCACCCGGAATAGAAGCAGTTCCGCTGATCACTTCTGTGCAGGTCGTGGTTGTAGAGCTCCTCTGTGGGCCTGCCTTGGGTGTATGGGGAGCAAGCTGCTCTGCTCGGAGGATTGGCCTGTGCTTCCGAAGACAGCTTTCGAGGTGCAAGAGGATAAACCAGCCTTTTAGTTAAATGCCAACTAAACTGCCCCATGCAGGTCTTCTTAATGGTTCTGTGTACTGTACATCAAATAAGTTCTTCTTTGCAGCTTTGGAAGAAGTGTGTAAGCCATCTGTTAGGCAACCTAATATGTTGCCGCTTTAAATTTAGTTAAATTGATCCAAATGATCAGTATTAGTGCAAAGCATTAGTGCTGTGTCAAGGAGCTCAAGGCAGTGTTTGTCTTGCCTAGGCGGGCTGTGTGGCTGCCGCTTCCTTTGCACCCATGTGCTAGTAAAGGGCTAATAGAAAGGATTGGTTCTTGTCTTCACCTTCAGAAAAGCTTCTGAGTTTCATCACAAGCTCCTCAAAATGAGCACTGGTTTGGCCACRTTCAGTGAAGGAAGGTGCTGGTTTCGGCTCTTGGGATTTATCTGGGCATGCTTGGTGCCGGTGAGCTCCACAGGAAAACAGTAGTACTTGAAGAATCCTCCTGCTTCTTACAGGACTTTATTGCATTTATGTCTTTGCAGAYAAACCCTTGCAATGTACATAGTAAGTTGAAACCGAAGCTGGGTGATGTTTTTACCTAATAGAGGTTATTTTTGTACACCTTGATATCTTAAAGAGAACAGGAGGTTACGTTCCTGTGGGCAAGCAAGTGTTCCAGAGAAGAGCTCCTCTTTCAGAGTCTTAGTGACATTCACAGACTCAATGGGGCTTTTGTTTACTTAGTAATCCTTATTAAGAGGTTTTTAGAGGATTTCCTAGTGTTGCTTACAGGGAGTATTTCCTAGAAGAACTGAACAAACCRTTTCTTAAGCTTGTCGACAGAACTGTAGCAACAGCAGCTTTTAAAGTGTTTATTCTTAAAAATGGTTTTGGATTTGGCTTTCTTATTACACTTTCTGTGTATCTGTGATCACTGCTCAAACGTACACATTTGAGAGAAATGTACACATCTCTGGCTACAGAGAATTTGGGCACTTTCAGAAGGCAGACGAGGTGCATCAGAATTGATGCTGCCTGTAAAATGGGCTCACTTGGGGATGTGGGAGAGCTGATGGAGCCCTTCCTGTGCCCTTTCCCCAAAAGAGTGCTCAAAACATGCAGCCATAACTTACTTCTTTATAATTTAGTAGTATTTAACTGTATGTCAAATTGTTAGCCACGCTGATGCCAACTTTCTTGGAAAAAATCTTTATCTAGTGCTTTCCTGAGAGACAGAAAGGAATCAGACTGTATTGGGAAGAATTTAGGCTTCAGTTTATCTTAGCAATGCTGAATAGTATGTAAAAAGATATTTCTAATCTACTCCTTTATTTTTTTTACAAGTGTCAAATTACAGCTTACAAACAGTTCAAACTACTTAAACTTGAAATAATTGGTGAAGTTAGGTCAGGTTTCTTAAATGGGCTTGGCTACCTCAGTATTCTTTTAGGATTTTCCCATTTGTATTAAAATGGCACCRAGTGCCTGTAGATGTACTCCAAAGCGAGGAAAGCTCCCACCACCAAATGGAGAGCACTGCGCATCACCTTAAACCTGTCATTTATGGAGCAAACCGGTCCCGGGAGATGGCACGACTCAAGCATATGAACAGCTGATTCTTTTTGACAAAAAAAAGGTAGTTATTGGCAAAGATAGTTATAGTTAGACATGTAGTTTGCAGTCGCTTATGTACAAAACATGCTTTATGCCTCTCCAGTAASAGAACGCGGAATTCTTCTGCTTTCTATTTTTGCAAGCCTATTGCTTTTTCAGGTACTTCATACCCTGCTTTTGCTGCAGTGTGGGTTCTGTTCTATACTCAAACATGAATTGTACTTCAGACTGTTTCACCAAAAAAAAAAAAAAAAAGAAAAAACCCAAGGTTAAAAGATATTTAGCAAAATGATCATGGCCCTCTAAAGCTGAGAATCCAAAGATTTAATGCTAAAACGTTAGGTCGGGAAGAGAGTAGTTAACTGAGATTTTGGAGGACTACAAGTCATCTTTGACGGGGGCAAAAATAGAGCACTATCGTTAAAAGGTTTTTAGGTAATTTTAATGTTCAGATTTCCACATCAGTTAGTGGACCAATCGGATAATGGACTCCTGTCTTCCGTCAGTTGTGAAATAAAAGTAGAATTCTTGCTAAACACAACATTAAAAAGGTAATTATAAGCATTCCTTTCAAATACTTGTTTTTCTGTCCTGCCCATTTTCCTTTGTTTAGGAGGTTGCTACAGGAATCTTACTAATTCATGACTTGCCAGTCTTAGAGAAATACCTTGTGTTGCATTTTTGTAGATTTTCCAGGGATAACTCTAATACTAAATTGGTT